ATTGCCCTGATACCAAAGCCATGTAAGGACACTACAAGAAAAGAAACCACAGGCCAATATCCCTGACAACATAGTGGCAAAAACTCCCAACAAAATATTAGCAAATCAAAGTCAACAGCACATTTAAAAGATCATACACCATGATCAAGTAAGATATATCCATTGGATGCAAGGATGGTTCAACATACACAAATCAATTAATGTGATACATCAGACTAAAAGAATAAAAGATAAAAATCACATGACCATCTCAATAGATGCAGAAAAAGCATTTGACAAAGTTCAACATCCTTTCCTGTTAAAAACCCTCAACAACTTAGGTATGAAAGGAATCAAGGCCATATATGAAAAGCCCACAATAACGTCATATTCAATGGTAAAAAGCTTAAAGCCTTTCTTCTAAATCAGGAACAAGACAAGGATGTCCACTCTCACCACTCCTATTCATCATAGTGCTGGAAGTTCTAGCCAGAGCAATCAGGCAAGAAAAAGAAATAAATAGCACCAAATTGGAAAGGAAGAAGTAAAATTGTCCCTGTTTGCTGATGACATGATCTTATATATAGAAAATCCTAAAGAGTCCACCAAAAAACTGTGAGAACTAATAAATTGAATTCTGTAAAGTTGCAGAATACAAAATCAATATACAAAAATCAACTGCATTCTATACACTAAGAACAAATTGTCTGAAAAAGACATAAAGAAAATAATTCCATTTACAATAGCATCAAAAATAATAAAATACTTATGGATAAGTTTATTCAAGGATGTGAAGGATCTGTAAACTGAAAACTAGAAGACGTTAATGAAAGAAATTGAAGAACACACAAGTGGAAAGATATCCTGTGTTCGTGGACTGGAAGGATTAATATTGATAAAATGTCCATACTACCCAAAGGCATCTACGGCTTCAATGTAATCCCTATTGTAACTGAAAGTTCAGTCGCTGAACCAGATGCCAATCCAAATAACGAAAATAGAGTCTTGAGTGGAAGAGGAAAGTTTTTGCTATGCCAGGCACAGGGAGCAAAGCAAGGGCTCATGCCTCAAAATTGCTAGCTCCCTGATAAGGAACGGGTAGGGATTTTTATTTGGGGTTTTGGGTAGGGGATGGGGCGCATATAGCTGGCATTTTCCCAGCAGCCTACGCTTGTCCTTGAGACACTGCTTGTGGCGAGGCAGTGGGGGGAGGGGATGGTGAGATAGGAGGATGGCATGTGGGCGTCCTTTGCTGCCGTCTTGTCTTCCTGATTGAGGTGGGTTGGAGCGCTGGGAGTCGAAGAGCTGAGGTCTGGGAAGGCTCCACTCTTTGATATTCTTGAGACAGCAGCTTTCCTGGGGACTTCGAGGACACGTGATTAGCTAAACTTTAGTGTGCCTCCAACTCCAGGCCACCCGGGCTTTGAACAATTTGTTACTCCTATTTAGTCGTAGAGCTCAAGGAGTGAAAGATTAAGGAAACAGATATTTACCTATTAGTGGAACTAGACAAGCAGGAAAGGGGGTGGTGGGTTTTAGTTTTAACCCCATATATGCTGGGTTCAAAGTAGGGGAACTGATATCAGGGCTGGTCTTAAGAGCCTGTAACACTATCCAGATTCCAATGGCATTTTTCACAGAAATAGAGATAATCCTAAAATTTGTATGGAACAACAAAAGACCCCTATAGCCAAAGCAATCTTGAGAAAGAAGAACAAAGCTAGAGAAATCACGCTTCCTGGTTTCAAACTACAGTCATGTGTCACTTAATGATGGGGATACACTCTGAGAAGTGCGTTATTAGATGATTTCATTGTTGTGTGAACATCACAGAGTGTACTTACACCAACCTAGATGGTATAGCCCACTACAAACCTAGGGTATATGGTGCTAACCTTATGGGACCACCATTGTATATGTGGTCTGTCATTCACCAAAACATCATTACGCAGTGTGTGACTATACATTACAAAGCTATAGTAATTAAAACAATGTGGTACTGGCTTAAAAACCAACATGTAGACCAGAGAAACAGAATAGAAAGCCCAGAAATGAACCCACACGTATATGGTCAACAAATCCTTGACAAGGGAGCCAAGAACACACAACAGGGAAATGATGCTGTGCAAACTGGATATCCACATGCAAAAGACTGAAAGTAGATCTCTGTTGAAGACCACTCACAAAAATTAACTCAAAATGGAATAAGACTTAAATGTAAACATGAAACCATAAAACTCCTAGAAAAACACCTATTAAAAAGAGCCTTGACATTGATCTTGGCAAAGATTTTTTGTATATGACACCTAAAGCACAGGCAACAAAAGCACAAATAAACAAGTGGGACTAGATCAAACTAAAAAGCTTCTGCAGCAGAGGAAACAACACAATATAAGTCAATCTGTGGAATGGGAGAAAATATTTGCAAACCATATATCTAATAAGAGTTAATAACCAAAATATACAAGGAAGTCATACAACTCGATAGCAAAAAAGCAAATAATCTCATTTAAAAATGGTCAAAGGACCTGAATAGATATTTTTCCAAAAAGACATAAATGGCCAACATGTGCTTGAAAAGTTACTTAACATCATTAATCATCAGGGAGGTCCAAATCTAAACAACAATGACACATCACCTTACTCCTGTAAGGATGTGTTATTATCAAAAAGACAAGAGACAAGCATTGGTGAGGATGTGGAGAAAAGGGAATCCTTGTGCACTGTTGGCAAGCATGCAAAGTGGTGCAGCCACTATGGGAAACGGTGCGGAAGTTCCTCTAAAACTTAAAAAAGAACTACCACATGATCCCGCCATTCAACTTCTGGGTGTATGTTCTGAGGAAACAAAATCAATATCTCAAAGAGATATCTGCACTCTTGTGTTCATTGCAGCATTATTCACAAGAGCCAAGATATGAAAACAACCTAAGTGTCTGTGAGTAGATAAACTGATAAAAAAAGGGGAGCGATGTGCGTGTATATATATATAACGGAATATTATCCAGCCATTAAAAAGAAGGAAATCCTACCGTTTGTAGTAACATGGATGAACCTGGAGGGCATTACCCTAAGTGAAATAAGCCAGAAAGAGAAAGACAAATACTCATATGTGGAATCTATAAAAAAGTTGAACTCAGAAACAGAGACTAGAATGGTGGTTGCCTGGGGTGAGGGTTGGGGAAAATGGGGAGATGTTGGTCAAAGGGCACAAAATTCCAGTTAAAAGATGAATAAGTTCTGAGAATCTAATGTACAGCGTGGTGACCACAGTACATCAGACTATCCTGTAGACTTGAAATTTGCTAAGAGAGTACATCTGAAGCATTTGCACCAAAACAAAACAAAGGTAACTATGTGAAGTGATGAATGTGTTAATTCACTGGATTATGGTAATCATTTCACAATGTATATGGATATCAAATCATCACAGTGTACACTTAGATATATATATATAATTTTATTTGTCAAACTTACCTCAATAAAGCTGAGCAGGAAGGAAATTGGAATCTGAAGTTCTTAATGTAGTACCTTGAGTATGGTAAGTGACTAATAAATGTTAACCATTTATTATCCAGTTAATGGTTACCCTGTTTCTATCCTCAGTTTATGAATGAGGAAGCCATAGTGGAAAAGGGGAAAGGACTTAACCAAAAGCCACGTGGCAAGTCAGAGCCGAATGGAGCCTACAACTCTTGTTAATTTTTATCTCGCTGGCTCCTTTTGCCCACGGTTTCATGTGACTCTTTCTAATTGAAGACCACATGCGAGCTAACCAGAAGCCAGGACTTAGCAGATAATGTGGTGGGGCTTGATCTCAGTGTTCTCTGGGAACATCAAGGATCTGGACCATGAACACTCCCTCCCATGCTTACCGTCTGCTATCAAACCCTAGCGAGAGGAAAAGGCTGACGGGAAAAGGTGGAGTGGGAGCAGTCTGTGAAAAGTTAGAAAATCCAGAAAGGTTGGTACCAGAATTGGTTTTCCTACACGAAAACGTCAATGAGTTTTAGGTGACTTTGAAGCACCACGACAAACATTCTGAAACAAAGGACGGAAAAGAAATATTCATGTCGTGTCTGGTTTGCAGGAACCAGAGGCCCCTTCGTTTCAGTGCATGCAAGCAGATCCTGTGCGTGAAGGTGAGTTCAGAAAGGTTCCCAGACCTCTTTGTCCTACTTCCCTCCTGACCATGTTCAGGGAGGACTCGGGACTTCCTTGGGGCTTGCAAAATTTCCTGGAACCAAAGTTGGGTCCAGCCAGAACCCAGACAATGAGCCAAGTCCTCTTCTGTCCCCAGACGGAAGAGGCAGCCTGTCCTGACTCTCTGAAGTGTGTCCAAATGCTCTGTCTGGGCCCCAGTGTGTGCTCCTCTCTTCCTGGAACACTCAAGGGACTGTGGAGGATGCACCTTTCTCTGTTCCTCTGTGTCGTCTAATTCACCACACTTATTGACCTTTGCCCGTATGGCGCCTCCTGCTCAGACATTTCACTCTGGCCTCTCCAAACTCCCTAGGCAGGAAGACCTGGCTTGAGCACCACCTTGCTGTGAAGCCTTTGGTGATCCCTCCAACCAAGGAGTAACCCCTCTGGTATCTCATGGTGTCTGCAGCTGTCACCCACCCACTGTCTGATGGTGGCATCATGGAGCCTGGGCTTTCTATGCCACTATTTGACTATTTATGTGAGTTCCCTTCAGTTCTCAAATGAAAAGCCTCTTAGGGATGAAGAACGTGCGTTGTGTGTTTCAGTTGTCACAAGAGGTAAATGACTCGTCGAAACCCAGACTGTAATCAGATTCCATAAGTGGTGACCTTCTTGTTTATAATAGATACATTATAGGTAAATGTGTATATGTGGTTGTATACACATATATTTTTACATAGAATACATATAGTAAAAATTCTGTATACTAATACTATATACACTATACATTTATGTAAATACACCAGAAAATGCCAAAGGCATTATAATACGATCAATAAACAGAAAGAATATTTATTCTCAGACACATAGGCCACATGAATCAACGACATCAAGGTACAATCCCAAAAGGAGTTTTCATATCAGGCAGTCTCCATCCCAAGATCTGGGCTTGCAGAGAGGTAGGGGTAGAATCTGTAGATGTTTCTGCGAGGGTCACTGGGCCACCCCAACTCTCCCTCACCTGATGATGGTCCAGTGGAACTTTGGCTCAAGCTTATTTCAGTGGTCACACAAAAAGCCACATGCCCAACACGCCACGTAGTCTGGCATGGAAGGGGGGAGTGCATCAGCAGTACCCCTGCCCCCGACTACCTTCTGGTTCCCCATAGTAATACACATCGAAAGAAGAGGCTGGGTGGTCGGGTTTCCTGGTGTACTTGACAGTCAAGATGTTGGAGGAAGATCGAAAGGTGAGACCTAGACCTTCACAAATCTTCCCATAGCTAGCAGATCCTGGAGGCCCATCTTGGATTTCCACATACTCTTTATGACAGGTGAGGCTGTCGGGGCAGAGGGAAAGGCAGGCATCAGCGTTTGGAATAGCCCTCCCTCCAGCAGGCAGCCTCTCTCCACCAGGGGCAGGACGCAGTTGCACCATTTGCTCATGAGAAGTGCCAGTCCTGGTGTGACAAGGGAGGGAAAGTCATCCATTCTTCTGAAGAGACGACAGTCATCCCAGGACTCTCTTGCCTCCCTGGGAAGTCTTCCCCTCTACCTGGGCTGCAGGGCACCGTGACTTCCAGATGTCCTGGGAAGCCCTCCTTGTGACTCCGGGTTGCCCACACAGCAAATTTGGATGAGAGCCACTTGTCTTTCAGGCCCCTTGAGTGTAACGGGTCACTGACAATTGTGTCACACTGAATGGCCCCAGACATGAGTGTGTGGATGCCACTCCTGCTTTGCCCTACACCACCCTGGCAGATGGGCCCAGCAACCCAAGTGTGGCCTCCGTGACCAGCAGAGGTGAGGGGGGCATCCGTCTCTACCTCCTGTGAGAGAACCTGCTCAGGGGATTGTCACCCTTCTGCTGAGGTCTCCCAACCCTTCCTTCTACCCTTCAAGACCTGATTCCCAATCCTCATCCTCACTCTGCCGCAGCATGTCTCACACACAGGAGAGGGGCCAGAGTGTCTTTGATTTACAAGAAGACAAGGAGGGGACCTCCCACCAGGACACTCACAGCACCCTTTATACTAGTTTGCTCTTGGCTTGAGTACTCTGGGTGCCAAGGACAGTCACAGCCAATGTCAATCTTTGAAAAGGACAGAGACAACAAGTGGAAGATTTCAAAATGACCCATCCCTTTGAGCCTTAGAGAAATGCTGAGGCAGAAAGTGCCTGAACCCTTTGTCCCTGGGGCATGGTTTGTGGAGATGGCCCAAGCCTCATTTTGAGGCAGCCATCTCTAAATTGTCCTTCAGCCCGCAGAGCACCTATGTGACCCAGTGGGAGTCCCAACCCTGTAGCAGGTCTGGAGGGGCAGGGGCCATTAGTCACAAGATTACATCATCTGTCTCAGCCACCATTGTGGGCTGTGTTTGGCTTGGTCTGGAGTGAAGGAAATGTGACTCCCATGTTAAAATGTGTGAAGGACGTTCAGGGATATTAATGCAGTTACTCATTGCTACATTGCAAATGCCTACTGACACCTTATCACTTCATTCACCCTTTCATTCATTCATTCACTCATTAATTAAAGAAATATTCCTTGAACCCTGACAACAGACTCATATTCTAGAGGACACAAACAATCATATAGGCAAGAGTACTATGACTCTAAATTCCATCCAGAGTTTGGCATGGGGTAACGGATGGGGCACAAATGAGAGAACAATCTGTCCAGCTGTGGAGAGTCAGGACAGGGGTATTAAGGAAACGTTTGTCCTCGAGCGAAACCAGGGAATAAAAATGAGGACCCTAAGCAGTGGGCAGGTGTGTCTGGAGGAGGTGGAAGGATGCATTGGAGGCAGAGGGGACAGTGTGACAAGGCAAGGAGCTGTTGAATGGTCTGGTGTGTCCACAACTCAGTGTGTGATGGCTCAGCACAGAGAGGCCAGAGGGGAGAAGTGGTTAGAAGGGAGGGCAGATCCAGCAGTCATCGTGGAGGAATTGGAAAACCATGCAGGAGAGTGAACTTTATCCAGAAGACAGGGAGCCTCTGAAGGGTGTTCAGCAGGCAGTGAAATGGAGCGAGAACGTGCTGTAGATGTGTGTGCTGGATGGTGAAGGGTGCACCGGAAGAGGCCAAGATGGACTCCTTCCTATAAAACAGCAGCATCAGCACCAAAAACACATCCTGAGCACTCACTTGAGGCCCGGTATTGCCATAGCAACATCGAGACCTGGGGTCATCTGGATGGTCCAGACACAGACAGTTTTTGGTCCGATGTAGTTGGAGATCCTGCCCGACAGGTCTGTGAGGAGGCCACCACAGCCACTATACCCTACAACAGAAGACAGGGTTCCAGGTTGCCCAGAAAGAGCTCCAGGCCCACAAGGGACTGTGTCATCCCTGGGCCCCACACCGCTGTTGATGGTCCCGACTTCTGGGTCCCCACACACAACCCAACATCAATGATCCAAGTCTGCTGAGCCCACAATCAGGTGGCTTTTGTCTTTTACTCTTTTCAGAACTCTTTAGGGACCTATACTCATTACTACACACTGCTTTAAATGAGTGTAAAAAGAAATTTAACACTTCTTCACCAAAACATTGCTTATCCTCAACAGCATTGCCAGATGCAGAGCAGAGTCACGCAAACACCTCCTTTCTGCCTCTCTGAAGACCTGGTCCTGGTGCAGCCTGAGAAGTGGCAAATGGGCAGCTCTCCTGCCCCAGAGAGGCCTGGTCCTCAGAGATGAGAATCCCCCTCCTATCAAGACCTGCAGGAGGGGCTCCACACCCTGCTCAGGGACGGCTCAGCCTCCAAATGTGTAAGTGAGGATGAAAACAGCGCCTTCCTCAGGGCTGTTTAGGACACAATATGTTCACGTCTGTAAAGTGCTTAGCCAGTGCCTGGACCTGGAAATTGCTAGGTACAAAAATCAACCAACAAGCCCCCCACATGATGAGAAACCTTTCTTCCCTCTGGGTCACATCCCTCGTGCTGCAGTGCGTCCCCCTCCCTGCAAAGCTCTCATTGCTGACACGGCAGACATGGAGGTCTCAGCTCTCCGGACACAAGCCCTTTGGAGGAAGCTCCATCCTCCTGTGACCCAGGCCCTGTGGAGAGGTGGCTCGTCTCCCTGCCCCGTGAGGCTGTGCAGATGGGAGGGAGGAGGCCCCCTGGGCTGTGGAGGAGTTGCAGCGGGTGGGGAGGAGCCACAGGGAAGAGCCTGGAGGGGTCAGGGGAGAGGGGGTGTAGGGATTGTTAAGATGAAACAGACTATCACGTCCAGTAATTGCAGTCCTTTCGGTCAAGAACGGGTCCTGGTACATGCATTTCCCAGACAGCCGTCGGACTCCAACCCCCAAGCCCATTTCTGTGTGAAGAGGGAAAGGTGGATGTAATACCATCTTCATTTACCTTTGTACTGTGCAGGTGAACCCAGGGCAGCTGAAAAGAGATCAAAACAGAAAAATGAAATGAAAAGCTGGAAGGTACTGATGGTCAGGGCTGGAGAGTGGAAAATGCACACACTGTGGAGAGGAGCTGCAGCCAAGGGCTGGTGCTGAGCACCAATAGGAGACAGCATCGCTGTCCTCATTGCTGGGGACAGTCCTGGGCACACAGAGGGAAGAGCAGCAGGAAGGTCTGGCCCTCAGCGTTCAATGACTAGCTCAGTCAGCTGCTTTCTGCTTCTTCTCCAGTTCCACTCAGTTAAAGTACAATGTCCCCACTCTGCAGCCAAGTCCAAGAGGTCAGTCTTAGGAGGGTGACCAACGTGCCCCATTAGCCTAGGAATTTCCCGGTTTTAGCACTAAAAGTCCCTTCTCCCAAGAAACCTGTCAGTCCGGGCCAAACCAAGACAGCTGGTCACCCTAACAGGACACGAACATTTCTTGTAGATTCTGTAATGAGACCAATGACCAATCTGATGTTAGAGAAAACGGACTGAAGAGAATTTCATCTGAGGAGAAATGAAGCGTCTGAATTAAAGAAGTTTCTCTGTGTCAGGGACCCGAGTTAGGTGCCTGGATCCAAGAGACCTGACTGCAGTCACACGGCCTCCCACGGGTCACCTGCACGGGAGATCGTCCTCATGATGCGGCGCAGTGGGTACAGCAAAGCTGAGGGATCAGACCGCCCCGGGTCACAGTCCTGGGGACACGAGAGCTGGGTGGCTTTGAACGAGTGATCTCCTCTCCCTAAGCCTCAGGCTACTCACCTGTACAATGGGAATCTCAGCAGTGACACCCTCATAGGGTTCAGGAGGACCATTGACAGCCCACGGCTCAGGGCCCCGCACAGGGGAGCTCTCCAAGGTTACCGTCACTGTCAACATCCCCAAACTAGACGACAGTGCTTTCCTCGGGAAATTAGAAATCAACCAATGCTCTAGAGCCTGTCTGACAAGAAGGCTCAACCAGGACCCTGTGAGTCCGTCTCCAGCTGCCCCGTCGACCTGAGGCTGCGTCGGTCTTTGGGGCACCATGAGGGGTCTCCCCACACCTGGGTGTCCATCAGCCCTGCCTGGGAAGATATAAATCATGGATGCCAGACAGCAGGCCTCCAGTGCCGAACCCTGACACCTCCCTGTCACTTTGAGGGCCTCCTCTGGCCTGGACCACATCTGCAGTGAACTCCGCTGACCTGACCTCAGGGCCAGGCTGGAGGCCAGAGAACGCGTTGCCCCTGGAGGGAGTTCAGAACACGTCACCTCAAAGCATGCCACTTTGTACAGTAGGCCACAAATAATGGCATATTGCTGATTTTGAGCTGAAGCTACTTGAGAAACAGGCGATGCAGGAAGGACTCTGATTTACCCCTTTCTACCTAAAAACAGTCCATAACGTTTCCCCAGAGAACAGTGCCCTCCCTGTACCAGGAGACAGTAAGGCGCTCATCACCAGAGGCTGGCATGGCGCTGACACGGGTCTGTGCACACACACTGATGGCACTGACCCTTCTCTGCCCAGTTCCCCTATACAGCTCCTAGTCGTGGCCCATAGTTCACTGCCCCCAGCCCAAAACTGGGTCTTGTCTTTTGTTCACAAACAGGTAATTTCTTTCTCTAAAAGGGATAAAGCTTTCTGCTCTGGTCACTTCCTTGGGTCTTCATTTATTTGTGACGGCCCCCAGGAACATGTAAGAAAGTTTAATAATGTGTATGTTTTCCCCTGTTGATAATGTCAGGGTAGTTCTCAGGCCCAGCAGAGAACCTAAGAGAGTAGAGGAAGGGATTTCCCTCCCCTGCACCTCAATCATACTAACACCACCACTCAGGCTATGAGATCAACAATCAGCTCAGTGGCACTTCAGCTTTAATCATGAGCTCCCCATACATCTGCACAGGTTTTAAAACCTTCAAAGGACTTTCCTGTTCTACCAGTCTTCACAACAGCCCTGTTGGGTGCTATTATTCTATCTCAGAGAATCAGACAGTTTGGGTGACTCAGCCAAGGTCACACAGCACTTAACCAGTTTCTGGCTGCAAGCCAGGGGCACCTGCCTCTTTTGCAGCAAGCTGCCTTTTTGTCTACTGACTTCATCAGGATCAAAAAAGCAACATCTGCATTCTTAATCCCTCTGGTTTCCCATGATCTGTAGCTTGAAAGTCCTACTGATAGGACGGATTTGGACAGAAGCCTTAGCTGTTTTCTGGGTGGGGACTGGAGACAGGCCCTCCAGCTGACTGGTAGTCTTTAGGCAGAAGAGAACAGACGGAGGAGGTGACTGGTGCCTTGTTGGAATCCTAACAGGAGAGGAGAGGGTAGGAGAGGAGAGGAAAAGAGAAGAGAGCAGAGTGCCTGATGATGGGGGCAGCCCCTGATGTGACCTGAAAAGAGGGCAAAGGTGAGCAGGAAGGAGAAATGCCCCAGGCTAGGAGCCACTGGGCGTGGGCAAGAGAGTAGAAGTGAGGAGGGTATGGAATGAGGAGGTGGAGAAGAAAGGGGGAGAGGAAGAGGAGGGACAGAACGAGACAGAAAGAGAGAGGGGTGGAGAAAGGTAGAGCTTTCTCTGGAGAAATGCAGGCCTTTTTTCGCCCCCAGCCTCCGGAATCAGAGTTCGTCTCCCTTGTGCATTTAGCATAGTCCCAGCACCCAGCTCTCCCTAGGGCTAGTGACACCCCCTCTTCAGGGCATCGGAAGCCCCTGCTGGGAGCTGCTCTTTCCTACTGTTGCTGTTGCAGCCGCGTCTCATCCTCTGGGCAGAGGCAGAGCACCCCACCCACTGTGGGGCTGCTCCAGGGACCCCTTTTCTCCCACAGATGCCACCTCAACTCTTGTCAAATAGAGTCCCCCTTCCCAGACTGCCCACAGTCACACCACTGACAATGCCTCCAAAGCAAGCCCTGCCAGGTTCACCTCCGCCACATCTGGGCTGAGCCCAGGGCTGGCCCACAGGAGATCCTGGTGTAGGTTTGCTTAAGGCTGGAGGGAGACAAGGAGGCAGGGAGGCCCACAGAACACATGTGAAGACAGGGACTTAGGAGCCCAGAATATGTTTAAAAATCGAGACAGCCTCAGCCCAGGGACATGGCCATTCCCATTTATCCCTCTTTCCAAAGCCTAAGGGTGAGGTGTGGCATCTTGTTGGAGGAGAGATTGTCACCCATGGGCTTCTTTGTTGGCAACACCCAAACTGCAGAAGTCTCTAAGTTGAACAGGAGAGCAGAGAGAGCCCCAGGAGAAAGGGGCTCCTGGGCCGTGCGATACCTGTACTGAACAGCAAGGCCCAGGTGAAGGTGCTGGACAGCCTCATCTGAGCAGCCCTGGAACCAGCCTCAGAAGTGAGGTTGACTCTGGAGGCCTGGGGCTATATAGAGGCAGTTCCTGAAATCTGATCTCCTTGCCTCCCTCTGCAGCCAAGGCCAGCACAGCTGCAGGAGCTGAGGGAGCTGAGGGAGCTGAGGAGCTGAGGGAGCTGCAGGAGCTGAGAGAGCTGAGGGAGCTGCAGGAGCTGAGAGAGCTGAGGGAGCTGAGGGAGCTGCAGGAGCTGAGGGAGCTGTGGGAGCTGAGGGAGCTGTGGGAACTGAGGGAGCTGTGGGAACTGAGGGAGCTGAGGGAGCTGTAGGAGCTGAGGGAGCTGTGGGAACTGAGGGAGCTGTAGGAACTGAGGGAGCTGTGGGAACTGAGGGAGCTGAGGGAGCTGTAGGAGCTGAGGGAGCTGCAGGAGCTGAGGGAGCTGCAGGAGCTGAGAGAGCTGAGGGAGCTGAGGGAGCTACAGGAACTGCAGGAGCTGAGGGAGCTGCAGGAGCTGAGGGAGCTGCAGGAGCTGAGGAAGCTGAGGAGCTGAGGGAGCTGCAGGAGCTGAGAGAGCTGAGGGAGCTGAGGGAGCTGCAGGAGCTGAGGGAGCTGCAGGAGCTGAGGAAGCTGTAGGAGCTGAAGGAGCTGCAGGATCCAGTAGGTTCTATAGAAGGAAATGTGTCTGCCTCTAATTACCACTTATCCTTCTCAGCCTCTTTCTGTGTCCTGTCTCACCTAGAGAGAGAAATAATAGCCACCTTCTCCTTTTCACCTCCTCTTCCAGTGGTCCTGGATGACAAGTGGTAAGCTGGCCACAGGCAAACAGGACCTGCTGTTTGGGGAGCCCTCCTGCCTGGGTTAACTTATAGCACTTTCACTTCTGTTAACTTGCACAAGCCCCATAATGCCTTGGACAGGTGAGTGACCGAGACTCAGAGAAATCAAGAGACTTGCCCAAAGTCACAAGGTGGCCGTGGCAGAACCAGTCTGACCTCCTAACTGCCCAGTCTCTCTAAGAGCACTCTCTGCGTCACTTAGGGCAAAGGTACATGAACAGGCCGTCAGTCTGCTCCAGGTGTGTGTCGGCATTGATGGAACAGCTGCAGGGCAGATCAGCCTGTGCGTGGGGATGTCCACATGGATGCCATGTGTACGCATATTTACATTTACGCTATATCTATCATACCAAGACCATATGGCTTCATCCCAGGGCAGAGTCACAGTTACAAGAACCCAGTGGAAGCCCCTAAGGAAGACAGTCTGGCAGTTTCTCAATGGGTTACGCAGCAGTTACCATATGTCCCAGCAATTCCACTAGGTATATACCCAAGGAAATGGAAATATTCACACAGATACTTGTTCACTAATGTTCACAGGAGCATTACTTACGATAGCCAAAAAGTGTGCATCCACTGATGAATGGATAAATAAAATAAAATAAAATGTAATCTATCCATATAATGGAAGTCATTTGGCCATGAAAATGAATGGTGGCCAAGTTGTGGACCAAGAAGTTTTAACAACTTATACACCAAGCAGGAGAACACGAGTGTCCATTTTCCAGAAATACGAAAAACTCTGGATTTTGCCAAATCTTTCAACACACCTTGCCAATCAGGTATGCTAGATATAATACATAACATTCATTTCTCCAGCATCCAGTGGGGTTGGCCTCTTTTCACAAGTGCATCTCTTTTGGGAAATGCCTGTTCATATCTTTTGGCTAATTTTCTGTTCCTATTCTGTTGCATTGCTTATCTTTTCTTACAGATTGTGAAACTTCCTGTCCTTTCCACCCCGTGTCTTTCTTTACAGAGAACCGTAATGGGTTTGCAATGCGAAAAGGCATCCTACCTGAGTTAGAACACAGGGAAGCTGCCGTGAACCATCGGGTCCCGCAGAGCTCTCCTAGCTGATGGTGGAGGAGAAAGCGAAATAGGGGCGACCACAGTGCTAACTCTACGTTAAGGGTAATGCTCCCTGGTTGTTACTCATATAACATGCAATATTCCTCACGGTTGTCCTTCGAATTAGAATGTCCCTCTGGTAAACTGTCCCCACATACCCTTTACAAGTACCCTGCTCTCAAGATACGACCTGCGCCTGGCCTGCAGAGAGCCCAGAGGAGGTCCCAGCTGGATGCAAATGACCAGGTGGAGCAAACGCAGGGACCACAGAGAGAAGGCAGGAGTTCATTTTATGTCTCGGCCCAAGGATCCTGCCATCAGCTCCAAGGGGTCAGGCCCGCTGTCCTGCCTCAGCGTGTCCAAGCACAGCTGTGCTGCCTGGGGAGAAAAGAAGGCACAGTCCCTTTTCTGGGGGACACTCAGGAATCAAGTCTTAGGGACCTAACGTCACAATGTCCTCTGGAAGAAAAATGTAGGTTGACAGTGGCTTTTGAGCTTTTGTGTCCCACAGATTTTTGTCCCAAAAGGTGATACTAGTTTCTGAGTGACCATAAAGACACCTGTTTTTCTCCCCTTCATAAGTCTCGGGGACTGCTGCACTGTAGATCTTTCTTTTCCTTCTACTGACATTCAGCAGTTTTCTCTGCCTCGTTCACAGACCCCTGACCAACTGCATCCACCTCAGCAGAACTTTCCAACTACCCTCTTTATGTTCTGTCCCGTGGTCAACTGTCATCTCCTTCCCAGTCGCTAGGCTCTTACTTCATAAACATGAGTTCAAGGGTCCTTTGGGCACTTTGTAAGTTGCCTCGTCAGCATGGATTCCCTTTTGTTGACAGAGAACCATAGTGTTATCCAGATTTCTATTCCCACCCTGTGTGTCCCACGGAGCTTGGGAAAAGCTGACCCCAGACCCAGCTCTCAGACATGGCCTTAGTCATGGAGGAGGGGACATGAATGTCACAAGGAGGCTCGCCCTCCTTGTCAGTGACTGGTGCAGGAATGATGCTGTGACCCAAACGGGCCAGTGAGAGAAAGAACAGCTCTGACCACAGAGGGAGATGCAAGACGGCTGCTCTCCACGTGCTGCCAACGGAGAGTGAGGCAACTCACAGGGATGCAGAGCAAGAGATGGCGGGGACACCAATCCAGAGCCACTGGGTGACACCAGCCTTGAACCTTCCACACCTCCAACTAAAGGGGTCAACGCCGGCCTCGTGGTTTAAGGCAATCAGAGATGGGGTTTCTGTCACATAAAGCTGAAAACATCCTTACCTCTACAGGTCCCGTGAAACCCAGAAAAGAAGATGCCTGCCCCTCAGGGCGTCTTAGAAGCACGAGAACAGTCCAACTTCTGTTAGAGACCCAGCTGAGCGGACCTGCTCCCGCTCTTCCCTTTCGGAGACCCAGACTACTCGGGCAGGTTGTCACTAGAAACCTTTCCAGGGCCCCTGGGCAAGTGTCATTTGCAGCTTCTCAGAGGACCTTGTTATACACGCATATCTCCTACTTCCGTTTAGTGCGTTCTCAAAGTCTCCAAAAGCTGGTCAAAGCTGTCTGAAAATAAACCCGAAAAATATCAGGAAAATCAGAAGGAAATATGCAAAATATATACTTGAAAAACACCCATGCTGAAAAGGTTTACATGAAACGACTCTTACTGATCCAAACTCTATTAACTGCACTTTCAAAAACCAAATCACAGAACTGGTGACACCATAGAAGCCGTGACCGCACGTTGCTACCTTCAGCTGCGATCTCATATTCACACTGCGACAGGGAACCGTGATACCATTCTGAGTAATTTTCTCTCATCTTTGGTACAAACCCAGATTTATCAAATGAAAAGTCCAAGAAAGTACAAAGGACTTTATTTTCAGTGAAAATATCCAAATTCCTGTATGGATTAATTGACACTGGTTGTACCTCTCTGTTTTTTTGTGTTCTGGGGTAATAGCTACCAGGGAGATTCCGCACAAAAGATTTAAGATCCATAAAAATATCCTAATGCATCATTGAATTTCACTCCATTCCCATTAGACCCACTACTCACCATTGGGTAAGTGCTATTCCTGGCGGGTAGCGTTGCTTTTAGCATCGAGGCAGCCATTACCTTGAAATTTTTTCAATCTCAGCTTTTTGTGTGTGTGTGTGTGTGAGGAAAATCGGCCCTGAGCTAACATCTGTTGCCAATCTTCCTCCTTTTGCTTGAGGGAGATTGTCCTTGAGCCAACATCTGTGCCAATCTTCGTGCATAGCTCTATGCCCAGGATCTGAACCTGCAAACCCCAGGCTGCTGCAGCAGAGCCCACCAACTTAACCACTATACCACCGGGCCGGCCCCTCAATGTCAGCTTTTGACAATTCATCTCGTCCCTCCTGTCAGGGGTTGTTTCAGCCATTTTTGAAAGCGAGGGTATGAGATATTCTTTCCTGCTTAGAGGAGAGGTTTTTCCATTTAAATTTGAAACACAGTCAAAGAAGGGGACGACTGTTTTTAAAGATTTGTAAGGCATTCTTGGTTTCAAAACCACGGTGGTATTCAAGGGCAGCTAATGTGAGGGGGGGAAAATATGTTAGCTAATTATGTTTTCATCTCAATGAGTACCAGCTTCATAACCATCAAAAGATAAACATTAAACCCTAGAAAGGATTCCTCCAATAGCTAAAGGAAGGAAGGAAACATACACCTGTTTCCACACTGCCCCTACACCCAGCTGACTGCGCACACACGTGTCGGGCTACAGAATTCTCATTACGATTCTCAAGGTTTGCACAACTCAAGACTGTGTTCCAACTGAACAACTTATAGAAAGCATTTCTCATATGAGCCTTCCTTAAAACACTTATTTGGGTCGATGTGAAGCATTTCAAAATTCCCTCCAGGATTAGACTATACTGTAACACTTGTGTGCTCACTGTGCCATTTGTCAGGTCTTCACATTATGGTGGATTTGCTTCAGAGCTTTTTAAAAATAGAAGTAAAATACCACGGATTCAAGTAAAGCTTCCTGCCTACTGCTCCCCAGAACTGTCCTATACCAGGAATTCCATTTTTATGATGCCTATGCAACTGTCCAAACTTTCCTGGTACTGATGTATCCATGTACTTTCTAGAGTATTGTGTCCCTGGTTTTAAAGTT